TGGTTCTTATGGGTCCGTCTCTGATGCGCCGGTTCTGATCGGCTGGTTCTTATGGGTCCATCTCTGATGCGCCGGTTCTGATCGGCTGGTTCTTATGGGTCCGTCTCTGATGCGCCGGTTCTGATCGGCTGGTTCTTGTGGGTCCGTCTCTGATCGGCAGGTTCTGATTGGCTGTTTCTGATGGGTTCTGTTCTCTGCTTCCCTCCCAGTTGGTCCAATGAGCGGCGCCAGCAGCAGGTTCTTTGGGACAATGGTCCAACCCGACCCATACACCAAGGAAGACCTGGAACTGGACCTAGAACCGGACCTGGAACCGGACCAGCTGCTCAGAGAGTGTGAGGAGGCGCTGCAGAGCCGCCCGGCCCGCCCCCACAGAGAGCTGGTCCGACCCAGACCGGGCCCCCCCTGCAGCAGCAAGCACAACCCGCCCATCCGGATCATGCAGTGGAACATCCTGGCTCAAGGTAGGACCCTGCCCAGAGCTTCTGGTTCTGGTTCTGATTCTGGTTCTGTTTCTGATGTGGTTCTGATGTGTGCAGCGCTGGGCGAGGGGAAGGACGGCTTCATCAGGTGTCCGCTGGACGCGCTCTGCTGGCATCAGAGGAAGTACCAGATCCTGGAGGAGATGCTGAGCCTGCGACCCGACGTCCTGTGTCTGCAGGAAGTGGACCACTACCACGACACCTTCCAGCCAATCATGGCCCGCCTCGGTTACCACGGTAGTTTCCTGCCCAAACCCTGGTCGCCGTGTCTGGATGTGGAGGACAACAACGGGCCGGACGGGTGCGCCCTGTTCTACCGCCGCTCCCGCTTCAGCCCGCTCTCCACGGCGCGCCTCCGCCTCTCCGCCATGATGCTGCCCACCAACCAGGTGGCCATCGCGCAGACGCTGCGTTGCCGGGTGACAGGCCGCCGGCTGTGCGTGGCTGTCACCCATCTGAAGGCTCGCAGCGGCTGGGAGCGTCTGAGGAGCGCGCAGGGCGCTGACCTGCTGCAGAGCCTGCAGAGCATCACGGCGCACGGCAGCGGCCTGGAGGGGGCGGAGCCAGGAGCCGTCCCTCTGGTGGTGTGTGGGGACTTCAACGCGGAGCCTTCGGAGGACGTTTACAGGCGCTTTAGCTCCTCCCCTTTGGGTCTGAGCTCAGCCTATAAGCTGCTGAGCTCCGATGGCCAATCAGAGCCGGCCTACACCACCTGGAAGATCCGGCCGAGCGGCGAGAGCCGCGGAACTCTGGACTACATCTGGTACAGCCAGCAGGCGCTGAGCGTGGAGGGCCTGCTGGAGCTCCCCACCGAGGAGCAGATCGGACCCGACCGCCTGCCCTCATACCACTACCCCTCCGACCACCTGTCCCTGCTCTGTGACATCAGCTTCAGGGAGGAGGAGCCTCACAGGCTCCTGTAGGACTGCTTCTGCTTCCCTCCAAGGTTCTCATCGCTGCTGTTTGGACTTCATGTTGGAAATAAAGTGATTTTTACTCTGAACGTGTTTTCCTGCCTGAGCTTCTGTC